GTGGTGCACTCCTTTAATCCCAGCACTCAGGAGGCAGAGGCAGGTGGATCTCTATGAGTTTAAGGCCAGCCTGGTCTACATAGTGAGTTCCAGGCCAGGAGGAGCTACAGGGAGACCCTGTCTCAAAAGACCAAAACAATAAAATTAAAATAAAACCTTTAAAAAATTATAATCATCTCAGGGCTGAAGTGATGACTCAGTGGTTAAGAGCACTGACTGCTCTTGCAAAGTACCTGGTTTTGATTCCCAGCACCCACATGGCAGCTAATAACTGTCCTTAACTCCAGTTCAAGAGGAGTCCTTACCCTCTTGTGGCCTCCATTGGGCATCACACCCATGTTTGCATTTACATACATGCAGGCAAAACACTCATACACATAAAAAGAAATAAACCTCAAGACCTTTCAATAATCTTATAAAAAGTAGGAGCCTCCAAAGAGCTTTGTGTGAGTTATAGTTGGAAATTAAAATGAAAATCATTTTATAAATAATATACCCATGGGTTGGCAAGATGGGTCAGTGGGTAAGGCCTCTTGCCCCCAAGCCTGTAGACCCGAGTTCTGTCTTCAGAACCCACATGGTGAAAACAGAGAACCACTCCCAAAAGTTGTCCTCTGAGCACCACATGCATGCCATGGTATGTGCACCCATCACACACACACACACACACACACACAATCTTAGTTGCACATCATCACATTCTTACCACATAGCTTCTGGGGCCTGGGGAAATGGCTTAGTGGGGAAAGTACTTTCCACAAAAGTGTTAAGAACTGTTGTTGCAGATCCCCAAAATCCATGTAAATGTCCAGCAGGCATGGCAGTCACTGTGTAGTGATTGGAATGAGAATGTTCTCCATAGGCCCCAAGTATTTGGACATCTTTTTCCCAGTTGGTGGCCCTGTTTGGGGAGGCTTTAGAAGGTGTGGCCACGCTGGAGGAAGTGTATCACTGGAGGTGGGCTTTGAGAGTTCTTAAGCCTTGTGGGAGCTCCAGTCTCTGCTTCCTGTGCCTGCTTAAAGATGTGCGTGCTCAGCCGCCTCCTGCCACCACGCCTCTCCGCCATGATGGACTAATCCCTCTGGAACCATAGGCTCAAGTCAACTCTTTATAAGTTTCCTTTCAAGGTGTCTTATTACAGCAACAGAAAAGTAACTAGTAACACCTGTTACCTAGGCCTTGGGAGGCAGAGACAGGCTCTCTTCATCGAGTTCTGGGTTCGGTAAGAGCCCCTGCCTTGATGTATAAGATGGAGAGTGATCAAGGGAGACATCTTACATCAACTTCTGGCCTCCATGCATGCACACAGATGTACCCCCCCACACACACACACGTGGGCTTATAGAGACAAGAACACATATGCATCATGCATTAAAAAAATTTTTCTGTTACAGAAGAATTTAATCCAAATCATTGCTGTAATAATAAACTGAATAAAAAGCCATGAATTTAACACATTTTTATGAAAAATACCTGTATTTTCCAACACAATATTAGCAACCCACAGAGAATCATTTACAGTTTTGAAAATCTCTAATGCCTGACTTGATGCCAGCTGGTTTCTGTAACAGCTGCTTTGTTGGTCACATTAGCACATAGTACAAAACCTCTGGAAACCACTGCATGCTCATGAGAGGAGCATGGAAAAAGAGCTCTTACTCTTATTTTGAAAAGAGGTTTGACCTCAGTGATCTCCTGAGATAGACTCTCTAAGCCTTGAAAACTTCTAACTCGTGGGCCCCAGCCTGCCAGTGCCCCAGCCTGCCAGTGCATGAGAGATGAGCGTGTGTGTGTGTATGTGTGTGTGTGTGTGTGTTGGGCAGGGGGTGGAGTGGCTAGAGCAGAATAGAATCATTAAAGCGCATTGTGCCTAGCTGAGTAATTATTTTAATGTAACACCTCTTGTGACCACTTCAAACCCACTCTTTTCCACCTCTTGCTCCAGCTATTGCTGCCCCAGACAGTGCTGTGCATGCATCAATCGGATCCATTCAGGTACCACTAAAAGTGCACCGTAAAAGGAAGGGGTTAACACCTGCAAAACCACCCAGAGCCCAACATATGCAGGCATCAGTAGATAAACACCACCACCCCCTTCATCCCCCAAAGAGACAGTTCTGAGCTCTGTTCCAGGAGCTTCTCTGAAGGTCTGAGGGAGTGAATCACTGTTGTCATGGCAGCGGTGCTGCATCACCAGGCCTGTATTGGCTGGTCTGCCTGCTGCTTGGCTCCCTTTGCCGCCCACTCCTGCTCCCTGCTGTCATTTTCCAATAAACTGCCCCCACACAAGCCTTTGTCATAGTTCTGTTTTCATGGGAACTACAGTTGAGATGTCTTTATTTGAAAAGAGTGTGCATCGGGTAGAAGGCCAAAATGCATGATGTATTTCCCTCCTGCGTGTCACAAATTAAGCATTTGAAAGGCCGAGATGGTGGAACATGTTTATAATCCCCGCAATGGGGAGGTGGAGGCAGAAGGATCACAGATTCAATGTCATGCTCATACAAGTGAGTTTGAAGTCAGCATGGGTTCCGTGAGACCCTGAAAAAAAAGAAAAAAAAAAAAGATTAAAGAGACAATACTTTGCATAAGCTCAGATAATAATATAAAATATTCCAAATGGAAAAAGTATTACAAGCATGTTACAAGTGTTAGCAAAATCCCTTCAATGATTAAACTCCTAAGAAGAATGAAATTAAAAGTCCAAATCTGAGCTGTCCTAACTGCTATGCTAGCAGAATTCCCCAAATTCTGGCCTCCAGGATTCCCTGACATGCTATTTTCATGCTGTGTCTCAGCTAGCATCTGGGTTTCCTTAGGAAGCCGCTGCCAAAGGGTCCTTTAGAGTGGGTATCACTTTAGGCAAATTGGCCCAACCCAAAATTTCTTGTGTGTCCCACGTTTTCAGTCAGGATACACAAGAAAATCACATTTGACAGCCCCAAGCCCACAACATTTTGAAAACACAAATAAGCCCTATAGCAATTGTTCCAGAGTCCAGCACATAGAGTATCGGTCCACCAGCCACCACCCCTACTTAGACTTGATGTAACGTTAGGAAAGGCAGGCAGAAAAAGAAAGAGAGCGATCGTTCTAGATTTGTCTTTCTGGGATACAGGTCTGAGTGACTTGTCCTCAGACCCTCCACTTAACTCAGCTGGTTAATGTAGTACTACTTACTATTAGGGTGGGAGAAAACTTAGTTGTTCCTCCTCTAGGTCAGAAGAGATTAAGTCATGCTGTGGTAATATATCACCCACAATTTTAGTGGCTTCATATGACAGAAGTTTGTTTGTTTATTAAAGAGCAGCACTGTGAGCTAGCCACCAAATCTGCACATGGTACACGGACAGAAGACATGTCACCATGATGATCTGTGTGACCCATAATCAAGGACCAAGCATTTGATGCCCTCCATGTCTCATTGACACATAAGCCTCTGAGGGCCAGCAATGTGATAGAAATCTAGTTAGGGACCAAAGGAGGCAAGGAGTCAGAACAATGACCCTAGAGAGAGGAGTTACAGCTCGGGAACAAGTTGATCAAGTTTTCTGTCTGCACATGATAACGGGGAAGTTACTATACATGATTCAATACCTGCCTCGGGCTGTTTCTGTGACTTTAGCATTCCCAAGCATTGCTTTCTAAGTTACTGTGATGGGGGCGCCTCATGGCCAAAGGTGAAGGCCACGGCC